CCCAGACTGCGAGAGGGCACAGGCCAGGCTGAGGGACCCCCCCGCCAGTGCACACATTTTTGTGCACCAGACCTCTAGTATATATATGGTGTGGCCTATATGAAATAGCTGGATCCTACTTTTTGGGGAGGGTATTAGAAATATAGTGAAGCTGAGAGAGTGACCAAGAATGGATCCTGTAAGCTATTCTCAAACTGCATAAGATGGTAAGCCAGTGGTTTAAAAGTAGCTACTAAAAACTCACTAATTTATACATTTTGGTCTTGCATTTTTAAATTTCTTTTTTGTTTGCTCTTAGTTCCTGGGATTTTTTTAAATCTTAGTTTCTTTTTTTTTTTAATGAAACTGGTAAATTTGCCAAATTAAAAGAACACAGGCCAACTTGGAAAGTTGGTGTAAATAAATTACGCCACTGAGGCTCATTTTTCTTATTTATAAAATCAAAATGAAATTACCTATCTTACAGAGTTACGGGATTTTTTTAAGTAAATAAAGTACTTGTACATGATAGATTCTCAATCCTGGCTTCATAATATTAAAAAAAAAAATCCTAAACCCTCATTGCTGAGCTAAGGAGGAAAGGACAGGGCCTCTATCCTTACTTGGGTCATAGAGATCTAACAAAGTGGAAGTAAGGCAGGCAGGCGAGATGCCTTCCCATCCTACCTAGGGGCTCACCTAATAATAGGTCCCAGTGATTGACTTGGGTTGTATTTGTATGTGTTTGTTTCTTTTTGAAATAGCATAATATCCATGGGTTTATTTTTGGGTATCCTTGATTCTTTCACATATTTAAAAATTTGTTTTCTGCCTACAAAAAAAAAGCATGCTTACTGTAAACATTTTGCTTATTGGGTATTCATTTATCATGGGGGACAAGTATTCTTCTCAGCCTATTACAAAAAGATAACTACTTTAAGTATTTGTGTTGGTTTTTTAAAAATATTTTTATTGATTTTTTATTTTTATTTTTTAGAGAGAGAGGAAGGGAAAGGAAAAGAAAGAAAAAAAAACATCAATGTAAGAGCAAAACATTGATTGGCTGCCTCCTGCACACCCCTTACCTGAGATCAATTGGCAACCCAGGCATATGCCCTGATCAGGAATCAAACTGCCAGTCTTTTGGTGCTCAGGATGATGTCCAACCAATTGAGACAGACCAGCCAGGGCCACTACATTAAGTATTTGATATCTGTTCTTCTAGATATTTTTCTAGGCAAAATCAGATATATTTACATAAAAATTCACATTTTAACAAAAGCAGGTTCATATTTTGCATACTATTTCACAGAATGCTATTTTAACTTCATGGTGTCTCATGGGTGTTTTCCCAGGACACAGTATGAACACTTGATTTTTAATAACTTGAGCTTTCTATTGTACCATAAAGTATTTGGTGGATGTTTGGCTACTTCTATAGGCTTTCACTATTTAAAACAATGCTATAATGAATGCTCTTATACTTCTAGCATAAATTCTAGAAGTGGAACCCTTGGATCAGACGTCATAAAAATTTTTAATCGCAATGTATAATGCCAAATTGCATCAAATTTCATTCTGAGCAGAGGTTTTGTTCCATTCCGAGAGGTAATGGTAGAAATTTCATCATTAGGAACAAGGGTCACAGCCAAGCATCTCTCTGGCAGGAGCAAATCACACTGCTTAGGGACTGAAAAAACACTCTTCTTTCAGAAAAGAGAGACTGTGGTTGAATCATCTCTCAAAGTGTGCACGGAGCCAGTGCATTTAAATAGAGGCTTTTAACAATGAGCTCATAGAGCTGGGTTTAAACCTCAACCCTATTGTTTACTAGCTGTGTGATGTTAGGCAAATTACTCAATTTTTCTGAGCCTCATAAAATTGGAATAATAATATAACTTACCTTAGGTGGTATATAGATGAAGTGAGAAACAAGTAAATGACATATGCCTGTAAGTAATATGTATGTGTGTCATATACATGTCATCCTGATTGCTGTGCCTGCCGTAGAGCAAATATCAGCTGCTATTATTATGCTTTTCCAGAATACATATCTGAGATCCCAACAGGGTGTTTTATTTCAGTGTTTTCCTCTGACCTCCTCATTCCTCAAAGAGAACAATGGCTAGAAAACATTGGTTGGGTAAATACTGCATTATCATAATTACAATTTCCCTGAGAAAAGTGGCTTGCCATTTGAATATTCAGCATCATAATTACAATTTCCATAAGGAATGTAGAACAGTTATTATAAACAAGACAATAATCACTTGGTCCATAAGGGAGAACAGATTATTGGGGGAGCAAGGAAGGAGCAGAAGCAAAAGCTTGTGTTCTAATCAGCATTCAAGAGTAGGCAGATCCTGAGAATAAATTATAGCAGCCTCTTAGAACACTCTTGTCTGAAGTTAGTGAAAAACCTTATCATGATGGAGATATCCCTGGGTTGATTAAGTGCTGTCTGTATAATTCTTCTTTATGTATAATTTAGTTTCATCATTTTTATTAAACATCCCCTCTGTACCTCTACTCATTGTCATTCACAATGGCTGTGCGCCCAATAAATTTTAAAAAGCAAACTATCCCAAAATGCGAAAAGCACAAAATGTTTGAAAAACAGTTTAGCGGGCGAAGTTTCATCAGGGTGTTTCTCTCTCCACAGTTAAATGTCTTCTTTGTCAAGGGAAAATGGATCAAGGGGTGTGTGTGTGTGTGTGTGTGTGTGTGTGTGTGTGTGTGTGTGTTTTAATGTTCTTTTAACTGTGTTGCCTTAATTGGCTTTCACTTAAATTTTCTTTTTTTTCCTGTCTTTTTACATTTCTTTAGGTGAGATGAGCAAAACAGAAGGCAGCTTTCAAGGTTGGTACTTTTCATGGTTTTTAAAGCTTCTCATTAATATGAAACAAAGTATGAAAGGAGCAGAGAAAAATATGTCCTTAGCTTTTCACAGACAGTGGTTAGAGGACATTGTGTTTTATTTTCCTCACTCATGGATGGAAATGTACAACATTGATTATAACAGAATGCAATATAGCAGTCACCTAGGATACCTCATTTACTCTGTGGCAAAACTGTGGAGTTGGGAATATTCAATATTATTTTACTCCGTCCATCATTCATTCATCACTCCATCCATCCACCATTCATATTTTTTTCAGTTCATATGTATTGCACACATACTGTGTGCAAGGCCCTGTCATCTGATTTTCCTCTCTTCATACATTTTTTTGGCTGACCTTCACCATGTTCCCTATCCCACCCCCGTTTCCACCCCTTCGTGCTGTCTCTGAAAATGAGCCTTCACCGGTTATCACAAGTCTTCAATTTAACTTGCCGTATCTGATAAATGAGCTGTGTTTCCACAACATTGCTCAGATGATATGGGTTCAGCTATATCTACTCCCAAATAATTGAGGCAAAGAGAAAATCATCAGTGTGATTATAAGGAAATGACTCTTCTCTATATAATAATGAACGCTGTCATGTCTTTCACTTTTGTGTAGTATATATTACTACATAGAGCAGGGGTGGGCAAACTTTTTGACTCGAGGGCCACAATGGGTTCTTAAACTGGACCGGAGGGCCGGAACAAAAGCATGGATGGAGTGTTTGTGTGAACTAATATAAATTCAAAGTAAACATCATTACATAAAAGGGTACGGTCTTTTTTTTTTTAGTTTTATTCATTTCAAACGGGCCGGATCCGGCCCGTGGGCCGTAGTTTGCCCACGGCTGACATAGAGATTACTATCACATAGTGTAGTTGTACATCTAGATACAGTAATCTATAGTATCAGGTACCCTTCCTCGGAATCCTAGCATACAGGTCTTCTTTCCATGTACCTTTTAAGCAAACTTAAGACTTTCTGATCAAGCACAGGCTTGTTATTATTATAAATTTTAAAATAAGCAAAGCATTTCAGACACACATGAAATGGCTCCTTGAATTAATGTCATGGGTAGACTCAAGCATACTTTACGGGAGCTATTAAATGGAAGTTACCAACAGAGAACTCCTTATACTAACTTAAGGTGAATAAATATTGCTTTAATTAATTGGGAAGGCTGTTTTGTTCTTTTATTCTAATGTCATAATTATGCTTACTTTAAAAAGGCGTTCTCCGTTTTCTTACTATCTTTAATTTTCTCCAATGCATTTAAAAAAAATAAAGTATTGAAGTCCTCAACATGAAATTCTGCTTCCAGAGGTGTTTTTAGAAATATAACTGTCATAATTAGGAAGGGACTCTAGTGTTTGTCCACCAATCTAGTTTAATTTTACTAATTTAACCTAAAATAGTTCAGATTCTCTCAGTCATCTATCTATTTGATTATAACACTTACAAGGAAGCAGGGAGCAGAGGTTGAGTAGTTAGGCTCTAGAATCAAATGGACAGAATTTGAATCTTGTTTATCCATCTAGTATTTGTTTGTTGGGTCAGCATATTAACATCTCCAGTCTTTGATTTCCTCCATTGCAAAAGGAGAGAAATAAGAGGACTTGCCTCATAAGGTCGTTGGGGAATAAGATGAAATATTTACAAATAATTTTGGCATATTATAGAAAAGCAATGAATGACAATTGCCATTATTATTACTTTGCTATTATTACTGTTATTGTAAAGCATTATTGTTAGAAGCAGGTAACATCTTCTCTGCAATATACTTCTCTCCTGGACTTGATCTTTGATACTTCACCATCATGTGGTCATTATATGGTAAGGTTTTGTTCCATGTGAAAATACATATAATCTATATCCATCAAATTGTCTATCAAACTATGACATTGCATCATAGAAAACTGCATCTGCATTTTTTCTCAATATAATATTTTGATTAATATCACCAAGGTGAGGGAAATAAGTGGTTTCAGTGATTACGAAGAAGAGTAAAAATGGATCAGTAGTAGCGAGGAGGGAGTCAGTGGACTGAGAGGCTTGGTGCCAACTTTCCAACCTTGCTCAGACAGAATCTAGCATCGTCTGTGCCTTTGTGGGCAGAGAGCCCCTTAGTTCGTGGTGATGTGAGGACCAGAGCTGGAGGCGAGGCTGCAGACTGGTGGGCGAGAGGAAACCTTCAGGAAAGGTGGGGGTCATTCCTTCGTGGCAGGAGAGAGAGAGGAAATCTGAAGGCAGGCGGGAGAGCAGTGTGAGGGGTCAGAACTCAAGTCCCTCCCTTGGAGAGATCTGTACAGTGCTGTGGGTGTGCACCATCCACGTGTTTAGAGTAGATGAGGGAAGACAGTCCTTCCTCAGCTGAGACTGGCCAGTGGCCTCAGCCCAGGTCATCCATATGCAAAGGCTGTCCAGCAGCAAGCCTCTTGGTGCTGGAGCTTACAGTGAGCCCAAAGGCCACGGATCTGAGGGAGGCACTGCCACTCCGCAGGCCACTAGGTTGATGATACAAGGAAGGGAGCCTTGCCAGCTTCACATACAGGCCCCTGGACTCATGATGATACCGTCCCAGACAAGTATGCAATCGTGAAACTTAGACTTTGTACAGGGAAATGCAATGTACAATCTCTGATGCAATGTAGAAAATGACACGTAAGTTGAGGTCATAGAGATTGCCAGGTATGTAATAATCTAATCATAGCAGGATAGTACTAAACATTTTTAATCTGACTTCCGAGACAGCAAGATTCACAACTGAATTTAAACATAAACATGTCTGGATGAAGGGCTTGCAACTCTGCAGTGACCAGAGTTCTCAGCCAGAAGGGTCTGAATATCATTGGGTTGAAGTGGAATTATGGTCTCCACACTGTTCCACAGATAAATGGCAAAGCTTCATTATCTCCCAGCCTGTGAAAGTACGGTGGTGAGGATAAATTCACAGAAAAAGAAAATCTTGACGGCTCCTGACCCACCTCCAATAAATACTTAAATATGCCTGTGACACTCAGTTTATCCCTACAATGTACATGGGTACTCTACGTGTGTGAGTGTGTGTGTGTGTGTGTGTGTGTGTGTGTGTGTGAGTGTGTGTGTGTGTACCGTCTATATAGATGTTGTTGATGGCTTGTGTTAGCCACTCTGGGTACACTCAGATCCTTCTCATGAAAGGATATCTCAATTATAGATTTTTATATTTAAAAAACATGTTTCAACTATTATTCATTTTAATTTTTTTCCTTCAAATAATGAAATTCAAGCCCACAGAGGTTAAGCAAACTAGCCAAAGGCATGGGGTTCACTAAAGACCAAATGGGGACCACAATCCCACTGTCTAACTCCCTCTTTGCCTTGGGCCATCTCAGAAGATAGGAAGGTCTTTTATTGGGATGAAAACTTTCCGAAACACTGCATTCTGTATCATCCTGTTGCATGAATTTGTTATTTATCACTTCTGTTCAGCACTTCTTAAGTGTTCTTACTTCCCAAACTGCACCATGAGTTCCTATGGGAAGAGCTCATGGCTACTATTTCTTTGTATTATTATCATATGTATAAAGTTCCAAGCAAATAGCGTGCAGTTTATTTTGATTCTAAACCTTGTGAAGAACACTGAACCCCTACTTCCCTTTTAGCTCAGCTAGTTGTATTGACGTTCTTTGTAGAAGACCCAGAAATCCCTCAGGGTGACTTTAGGGCAAAATGTGGTTGGGTTTTGTTTTGGTTTGGGGTTGTTTGCTTGTTTTTTGTTTATTTCTGACACTGCTACAGGATTAGAGAAATAACATATCAAAATCAAACTTAGTGATTTCATATCTGTATATTTTATGATGTGAGTGAGGGGGAGAGGGTCAAATAGACACTTCTAAACAATTTCATTAGCTGGGACTACTTGGGCTTAATGACTTGCAAACCATTAGAGACTGGTGAGGAGGGAGAATGCCTGTTGAAAATATGAATGTATTGTTGGGTGGATAGCAAGGAGGGCCCAGAGGTTAAATATTGGAATGAATGGGTTCAATTTTTTTAAATAAAGAAGAAAGGTTACAAATAAGAAAACTAATTTTCCTTTTATTATGGATTCTAAATCTAATTTCCTTTAGTCCTTCCTGTGTATTTGAAAATTGGATGTAGCTCTTATTTCCATGTCAGAGCTGTTTAATATTTTCACACTGGGAGAGTTGTGTTTAGATTTGAGTACCACACATTTGGAAGGCTATACACAACCTATTTTTCCCTGCTTCTGTGTACAGTGTCATATAAAGCAGTTCAGGCTAGATGATTATTAATTAAAGGTAAATTCCAATATTCAATTAACTTTTTAAAATATATATAATACATATTTTTATTGATTTCAGAGAGGAATGGATAGGGAGAGAGAGATAGAAACATCAATGATAAGGGAGAATCATTGATTGGCTGCCTCCTGCATACCCTCTACTGGGGATCGAGCTCACAACCCGGGCATGTGTCCTTGACCAGAATCAAACCTGGGACCCTTCAGTTCCCAGGCTGATGCTCTATCCACTGAGCCAAACCAGCTAGGGCTCACTTAACGCTTTTAAAGATCATTTTGGCACTTTCTGCAGGTTTTTCAATGAGAAAAATTTTAAAATATGGTAGATTGTGGAAATGTTAGTAAATCTTGTCCCAGCCATATATATTCTACATACATACATGTACAGTAATAAGGATGGTGATGGACTCAAAGTTATGCTCTTGGAGGAAGAGTTGGGCAGAGGCAGCAAGATAGTGGACAGAGCAATGGATTCACTTCTAGCTGAATCAGGAGATGAGTCAGATGATTATTATTAGCCTATTACTATATTATTATAGCAATACCTGGCTTTTTAAATTATGAAGCTATATTACTTTGATAGAAATAAATGCTAGGTTAAATGTATTTTTAATATAAACACTTTTGCAATTTACTCTAGTTCAAATCTTGGCCTTACCACTTACTTA